CTGCCTTTATATACTAAAAAAAGAGGGCGTCTAGCAAACAATGGGATATTCGTGAGGTTCCTCTATAAGTCACGATCCTTCTAGAAACTCCAGCGCGCATGCTCCCAGCGTCGCGTGACTTACGCTGTCGTAACAATATGTTAGAGTAAGCCTAACAGTAGAAAAGGAGGTAAGAAGAAGAATTATTCCGTCAAAGCGTGATTATAAAGTAACTGAATCAGCCTCAGTGAAGTTTGACGAAAGGAACAGAGGATGTTTAGAAGAAAGAAGACCAAACGATTATCGGTAACTCGCGCCACAATTGTAAGTGAATCACACATAGAATACTAATGCGATAGTAATAGAGAAGACAGTTCGGCTTGTCAACTGAAATTCTAAAGCAATTGAATAGGCCTAAGTGGACTTTTGACAGCAAGAGGAGAACTATATATAGTGTTTATGATATGCCCAGAGCCGGAGCGACCAGGGGGACGAAAGGTGTGGCATTTTTTTTTTTGTCAAAAAATAATTAAATAATTAAGGGAGCGAGCCAGTTCAATGAAGTTAACCACTGGTGGTAGCCTGCCATTTTGAGGGTTTTGAACAGTGGTGCGAAGTAAGTCTGCAATTTTAAATTAATAAAACAATTAAACATATTATTATATCGATGCAACCGCATTCATAAAATATAATATTTTTACATTTTCCAAACGTTCCGCGATGTTATAACATTTTCAAAACGTTCCAAACTTTCCGTTTGTGCCCTATTATATAACAAACATGTGTATTATTTCTCATGTTGTTGTAAGGACCAAAATAAACTATTTTTATTTATATACTGAATAATTTATTTATTTATTGGTTATTTCTGCATTTGTAAAGTTATTTATTTCCTGGGTTGCAATTATACCTAGGCGATGTTACCAAAGTAAATGTAGGTAATTTTAGAAGATTTTTAAATGGTTTTACAATTGCTTTTATCCTTGTAAGCAATAAATATGATGGTGTTCAAGACACTAGCAGAGTACTTTACTCAAAACCCAGTGAATGAACTCCTGTTTATTTACTTGGTTTGACAAAAAATTTGTTTAGTATTTAAAAGGCACTAGCGCATTTAAATACATCTAAGTGCACCAACTTTCTAGCATAAAAATTATGTTTTCTTTACTGATGTGATTTTTTAAAAATTGCGATTTTCTCAAAAATGGCTCTAATGATTTTGATTAAAATCAAGCTACGCGTAGATATTCAGATCTTTGATAAAATTTCATAGCCCATTTTCCCCTAAAAATAATTGTATGCCGCCTACTTTCATTATAAACCTGTGTATTTCTATAAGCATTGGGTGAATTATATTCAATTTTAATATTTTAAATTGGCCAAAGGCAACAGTATCTAGTTCTTCTCTGTCACTATAACACAATAACCCGGTGTCTGTGTATTTTTGTTCATGGTTTGCTTACACTGGAGATTTCGACCCTATTACAATACTTTCTTTTACTATTGCTGCGAGAAAGTAAAACTTAAACGCCTGTTTTTTACTGATTTTTTTTTCTTTTCTATTCAGATGTCGGAGACTTCGGGGAAACGCCGAAAGCTTTCTACAGCTTAATACAGAAAGCAAAGAACGAAGACAGAAGAACAATTAAGGAAAGCAACTTCATACATAGTTAAGTTTCTTCCAAGCAGATTCAGCTCCTTCAACGTCTGCTGAAAGAGTCCTGCAAGACCAAACAGAAGATGAGTCTTGTTGTGCATATGATGCTTTATCAACTTCGGACGCTCACCAACCTGAAACTTCTTCTCCAGAAGACCCAGTAGAGGTTCATATAAAAGAGGGAATATTTTCTGCACCCAAAGAGGCAGGTTTTTCAACTGAAAAAATTGGAGCAAACCTCCTGAAGGGGATTTGTCAACAGATACTACACCTACCGATGCTTCTAGAGAAGTTAGTGATGTGCTTACTATGATCGAATTGTGTGATCTAGAGAAATAGCCCAATACGTTAAGTAAAAAAATGAGGACATATTTGATTGAAACAGGACCTGTTAAAGAGTTCCGCAATATGATTTATCCAAAGACGATTCGGGCAGAAGTTTTTCTGACACATACTACCACAGGAAGATGCCAAATGGAGAGACGATTCCTAGGGATTGGATTGTATATTCTGCCTCCAAGAATTGCGTTTTTTGTTTTCACTGCAAAGTTTTCACAAAAGGTAACTCTCCTTTAGCACATGAAGGGTTTTCTGACTTGCAGCATTTATCTAGACATTGAAGTGATCATGAAAAAAGTCACCACCTATTTGTAAGTTTATACATTTGAAAAGAAGTTTAACCAAAGGGCAGACTTTTGATGCTCGTATGGAAAAACCGATAAACCAAGAAAAGATGCGTTGGCAGGAGGTTCTCTTGAGAATAGTGCAAATTGTAAAAATTTTTATCACAACAAAATTTGGCTTTCAGAGGTAGCAGCGATAAGCTTTTTTTAAAAAAAATAATGGCAATTTTCTAAAATTAATCGAAATTCTGGCTCAGTTCGATCCCTTTATCGCTGAACACGTCCAACAATTTCAAAGAGACGAAAAAATAGTCCACATTACTTGTGGCAGCAAATCCAAAATGAGATAATTACTTTATTTAGTGAGATTAAATCTGTCATTGTAAAAATGGTAGAAGATAGTAAGTATTATTCATTGATTTTAGACTGCACACCGGACTCCAGTCATCAAGAACAGATAACAGTGGTCATTAGATTCGTTATGTTCAATTATGTAAAAAACGAAGTCGAGATAAAAGAGCATTTTCTGGGCTTTTGTAAAATTCTCGATACAATGGGTGCTGGCCTGACTACTTTTATCACTTTTCATTTAATGGAAAACAATTTAAAAATTGAAATATTCGCGGACAGGGTTATGACAATGGCGCTAATATGAGAGGGAAAAATAACGGTTTGCAGGCCCATATTCTAAACAAAAATCCTCGAGTATTTTATGTTTCATGCTTTTCTCACACTCTCAATTTGGTAGTTAATGATGCCGCAAACGTAAACTATCAGATAGCTGATTTCTTCTCTGTAATTCAACATCTGTTGGGAACATTTAACCAATAATGTGTCTCAGTTTCAAACCCTCGATGGGAAAGTCGAGTTGAAGCAGTAAAACCTTTACAATTCTGTTTATCCGAAGTTTGTGACAGTTTTTCAGAAATAATCGAAGACGAAGAAAATGAACTACCTTCCAAGCATGAGGCCCAATGTTTGTTGGAAAAATTGGAATCTTTTAAGTTTATATGTTCCATCGTTATATGGTATGAAGTATAAACGTTGTTTCCAAAATCATGCAAAATTCAAACACAGATTTATCATCATGCATTGAACATTTAGACCGCCTTAAAAAAGTATCTCAGACTATCGAAATAAATTTGAAGAAAGAATACATACTGCGTCTGAAATTGCCAACTCATGTAATGTAGAGCCACATTTTCCTTCTGAACAGTTTCGCGGGAGAAAAAAAAAGTTTGACTACGAATACGAAGATGATACTATGATCGGCCCTAAAGATAATTTCCGCATTATTAAAAATATTATCATTGACACGGCTGTTAGATCAATCGAAGAAATATTTGACTTGCTTCAAAATCAGTTTTTTTTTTTTTTTTTTTTTTTATTATACGATTTTAGGAAAATGTCAGAACTGAGTAAATCGGAGCTTTTGAAACATTGCATGGATCTTGAAATAAAACTAACCAACGAAACTGATGAAAACTACCCAAAGGAGATAAGACCTAAGAACTTGCAGATGAACTTAGATTTATTATGAGTTTTTTAAAAACAGAAACTTCACCGAAAGATGTCTTGCCGTACATTTATAAGAACATATTGACGGGAACATTTCCAAACATTACAATAGCATTACGGATTTTATTAACGCTCCCTGTGACAGTTGCTAGTGGAGAGAGGTCGTTCTAGAAATTAAAACTAATAAAAAATTATTTGAGATCAACAATGGGACAACAAAGACTTACTGATTTAGCTCTAATATCGATTGAAATTGAAATCTGCGAGAAAATTGAGTTGCAAAATATTTTAGCAAATTTTGCTAATTTGAAAGCTAGAAAGGTGAAATTCTGTTAGCTTATATGTGGATGATAAGATTACACACTTTTGATATTGTAGAAAATAAATGTTATTGCTTTAAAAAAAGTGGAGTATTTTAATTAAACCTTTCCATCGTTTAAATCGTTGTATGCACTGCAAATACCATGATGGGGAGTTTTCTCGCCACAATGACTGCCTGTGCTAGTGAGGCTTTTCTAAGACAGAGAACCATTGCCATTGTTCATAAACATTGAACTTCCCGGAGGCTTTGACAAAAACCCTAATGGGAAAAGGGAATGTAGTGGCAGAAACCTCCTCATTCATTCGTATCTACATACATTTCTGAAAGGTTGGGGGCGGCAAATGATCCAGCGATGGTCCTGGATATGCCTATAGTCTCTATAGTGTGAATACTTTGTTGTGCATATGTTAACTTGTTCAGAATATATATATATATATATATCGTTGACTTTATCGCTAACAAGTCACAGACACCTACTGTAGAAGAATTCTAAACCCAACGAAACACAGTATATACCTATACTATTAAGAAGTATAAGTAAAAGCCTTTTAACTGACAATTGGCGACCAAACCATAACCATAGAATCTGACACAAATATAGATTTGAAAGTTCAAGTTTACGTATAGGCGAAATATTTAAGTAGAAGTTTTAAAAAGTATTGAGTTAATTGTTGTTCCGTTATAATATACACTTAATATATTTATTGGAAATGAAACGTTGCCCGATTTACTGACAAAGGCAAACATTACACGCATATTTAGAAAGTATGATAACAGTCATATTAATAATTACAGACCAATATCTATATCGAATGTATTTTCAAAAATAACAGAAAAATTAATTTACTACAGAATATGTGACTTTGTTAATGAATATAATATATTGTTGGAATACCATTATGGTTTTTTTTTCAAGAATACATTTACACAATATGCTATTCAGGAATCACCTGAAAGTAACTTAGAAAATATGGAGGAAAGGGGGAATTAACCATAGCGGCGTTGTTAAGTTTTTCTAAAGCATTTGACTGTGTTAGCCACGAGTGATTTTAGAGAAAAAGAAAATATTATATGGGACAAAGATGTAAAACGTATAATTGGTTGGAAAGATATTAACAAAACAGAATCTCAGTTGCCAATATACATAATATTATGATGAATTATTTATAACGAGAGATGATCCTCGGGACTCAGTTCTGGGACCACTGTTCTTTATATATATGTTAATGATATACCACACCTGTTGACATAAAGCAGATCTTACTTTTAGATGTCACCCAATTATAGCTCTTAGTAAGATTTTGAATCCATTAGTTTAAATGGGTAGCTTATCCCAAGTTAAATTTTTGGTTTAGTGAGAGTTACTTGTTTGTTAATCTTGAAAATATTTACATGAATGGAATACGACTTGAGAGATACTCAACAGAAAAGGTTTTGGATATAAACCCTGATCATAAGTTAAACGGAAATGAGCATTCATTATATTGGCTAGATATAAAGGAGTAATAAATAAAATAAAAATATTAGTTAATAGGGAATGTTTCATAACTATATTACAGCTTCATTTATACACTCTTAACACGTGCTAATATTTCTTGTGGAGATTCTTTTGAATATAAAATATTATTTTCTGTGTTTACAAAAAAACTGTGAGAGTAACTCTGAGTTTAAATACTGGAGATTCTGTTTATCAGTTATTGCACAAAATCAAACTATTAAATATTTATGAAATAAATCGGTATTTAGTGCGTAATTTTATTTATATACTAAAGATAAAACAATCAATATACTAGGATTACAACACATTTTAAAAAGTAACGAAAAAATACATAGCTATGATGCAATGATTAAGACAGATACTTAAATATTTACAAAGCAACACGTTATGTAGGACTAAAAATATAGAATGCTATATCTTATGAAATAAAGACAAAATACATTAAGTAGTTTTAAAAAACTACAAAAATTAGTTATGTGTTTTATTAGACAGTAAAAATTATTGTTTTAAAACAATATTATTGTTTAGTTTTTATTATAAAAACTAAATATACTTCTTGATACTAGAAATAAACGACCTTATAACACCAAAATATTGTTTTAGATATTGAGACGTTATATGAACATGACTTTGTGTTCTAGAAAAGTTGTGTGACCAAAGATACATGAATGTATCTAAGATCGTAATGTTATGTGAATACGACTAGTGTTAATGAACTGATAACATAATGTGACAAATACTACTATACTAGATATGATAAAATGTATCATGATTAGTATTTTCAAAATGATAACAGAATGTGACAGAACTATGGTTTTAGATATTATGGTATTATGTTTAGTGTTCTACTAAGGATGTGCCCATGACCAGTTTTCTAGAAATGTTTCATTGTTTCGTCTATTTGACCAAAGATATACAAGGACCGTCTGTGCTAGTAGTCCCTAATTTCGAACTGATAAACTAGCAGGGGCAAATAATCAACATCACCCGCCGTCAAATCTTGGGCTACTCATTTCTGACCGATTTTACTATCACTTTTATAACGCTCCAAGGGGCCCAAGTTGCGGATCGCGAATTTGTTGTAACGGGACACGAACTGTGAACTCTCATATTCACAATCTGGCACTCTAGCCACCAAGCAAAGACAAATCCTTGTGTTTCAATTAATATAACGTTACGTGACCTTGACTAGTGTTCTAGAAATGACAATATAATTGAACTGTTTGTTTGTTATGAATTTCGCGCAAAGCTACACGAGGGCT